AAAGCGGCTTGCGGTGGCGGCTAACCGTGAGCCGCGGCTCCAGCCGCTGTAACAACACACCACCGCGGTCGCAACGGCGGCCTGAAGCGCCATTCGCTGTGGTGTGTGTGCTACGATTAGACGTCAGTAAACATGGTTAACCGTGATGAAGTCTTATTATATTCAGTAATATTATCATATATTTTGTTTTTAATCCTAATGCTTTGTAATCACGATGCGAATTATCATGAAGTACTGGATAATTTTGCTCTGTTTCTATTACAATCTCTGAACTTAGCACCATTTTTTACGCGGTACACGCGGCCTGTTGTAAAAATTTGCAACTGACCGCGCTGCAACCACCGACTGGCCGCGGCCAGCCGCTTGCAGATCGCGACATGGCCGCACGGGATTGCAGACTCTCTTACATTGCAAGCGAATACAACTGACCGCCACCACGGCCGCCACCGCGGCCGCCACCGCAAGCCGCTTGTGTGTGGGAGACGCTTCAGTCATTGTCGCCCGCCGTACGCCGTCGATAACAAACGACTAACATGGATTGTTATCGAATTGTTGCGCGCCACTATTAATGTCTTGTATATGACAACACTAGTTCCTACTAGCGCTCTCTAGTGTCGAGTAGCAGAACTAGGAGTCAAGATCCTTCTAGAAATTTCGGGACCGATATGTACTCGAACATTCTAGATGTCGCTACAGTAGAAGGTTCTGGAAACTATCTGAGGCCCAATATAAGGCCGGTATAGACCACGACCGAGTCAGTATTGAATTGGCGATACAAGAGAATACTTCGAAGCGAAATAATTGCGAACCAAAGTGACAGTTGTGTTTATTATTAGTGTGGTTTTAGATTGTAATTAGTGTTATGTAATTAAAGTGTCAATTTTGGTAATTCAATCGGCAGTTTTAATTGTCTCAAACCCCAAGCTCGTAACAATTGGTGTCAGAAGTAGGATCAATATGCCGATTTTACCTAAAGACGACACGGAGGGTATACGTACCCGAAGTCAACGCCAACAGGAGACGGACCAGAGACGATTTGGTGGTGCAACGTCACAGACGTCGGCGGGCCAGTTGCCGACCACGGAGGCAGGCCCGTCAGCAGCTCCTACATCTGCAGCACCTGACTTAGGTGCTCTGATGATGATGGTGCAGGAACAGGCTCGCCGACAGGAGGAACAGGCCCGCCAACAGGAGGAACATGCCCGCCGACAGGAGGAACAGGCCCGTCGGTTGGAAGAGCAGCTGCACCGCCTACTGGAAGAACAGGCCCACCAACAGGAGGAACAGGGCCGTCGGTTGGAAGAGCAGCTCAAACGCTATAAGGAAGAGCAGATGCTCCTCATGAAGGACCTTTACGCTACCTTCGGGAAAGAGATAAAGGAGTTGAAGGATAGAGTTGCTCAATATGACAACCGCCTGTCGGGAGCTGAAACCCGAATCGACCAAGTGTACAATCGGGTTGACAACGTGATGGCTGACGTGAAGAAAACGCTGGACGACCTTAATTAAACATGGAGATGGAATTACAGCTCCCGTGGTAGCTACCAACACCTTCGCTAGGTGGATTATTCAAAGTGCCGCCGTTCGACGGGACTTCTTCCTGGTCGTCCTACAAAATCCAGTTCGAGGCTGTTACGAAGGCGAACGGCTGGAATAAAAGTCAGGCCATGACTGCTCTCACCCTAGGCCTGCGCGACCAAGCCTTGACTGTTCTGGAAGCTCTCGTTAAGGAAGTGACTTACGAGCAGCCCCTTGAGGCATTGTAGTCGAGATATGGCGACACTCACCTGGAACACGTCTTTCGTGCGCAGCTCAAAGATCGTGTGCAACACAGCAACGAAAACCTGCAGCAGTGGGCCCTTGAGGTGAAGAAGCTGATTCGAAAAGCATACCAGTCTGTACCTGCGGTCATTGTAGGGAACCTGGTGCAGACATTCATCGACGGCATCCGCGACCTTGATGTCAGAGCTGCTGTGAGGCTCGGGCACCACGAGACGCTTAAGGACGCGTTGGCCCATGCACTGGAGGTGGAAGCCGTGCGGCATGATCATCGTTCCTATCGCGTCAGGGAGGTTCCAGCGGCTACAGTTTGCGACCGCAATAAAGGATACAGCCCTAGGTGCTACGGCTGTGGGAAAGGGGGCCATCTTCGATCCAGCTGCCCTAAGCTGTCCTTCTAGAAAGGACCCCGCACCATCTTGATGGATATTGGTTCCCGGTCAATTACGCTGAAACTTCAGTATGTTGTTCTTCTTGATATTCTGATCACATGCTCCAATGGGCTCGAGGTCAGAAAGTCGCTAGTTTTCGAGATACTGACCATCGAACTTCCGATACATGGCTGTTTAGCTAGGCAGGGTGTCGGGAAACAACATAATACATATAAAGATAAGTGAGATATTGTCACCAGTAGCAAGGAACACCCTTGCACTCACATTTATCAGAAAACCAAGTACACTAATATCTATTGGGAGGTAGCTACCTAGCCCATTGGTTGGCCAAGTTAGTTCACCCAATGAGGTTAACTGGTTATGTGGGGTACTTGATTCAATTGGATCGAGAGGGCTGAAGAACTTGAAGCGCGTTATTTTCTTAGTCCAAATAAGTCAACTGGTTATGTAAACTTCTTAAGTGTCAATATAAGTACGAATCCACGATGATGAACAACTTCAATGGGCACAAAGTTCGAAAATTGCTAGTTAACGAGATATTCTGTTTAACTAGGCATGGTGTCTTAAGACCGTTTCATTATTTAGTTTTTCACTGGATGGATTGAGGTGAATGTGATAAGCTGAAAGGTTAACAGAGTTCTTTATAAACTCTGATCCTTTTGATCCTACACCACCAAGGCACTGCGTAAGCAGTTGGCTGGCGCTCTCGTCATCTCGCACATGGATGGCTCTCTTATCTATCTTCATGTATCAGGTCAACAGAACACTCGAAACTAGCGATTTTATAGCTCATGCGTGAGGTACGTCTGTGGAGTCAGAAGGGACAAGCACATCTCCCCCTACAGAAGGAAAATAGGTTGGATTTCGGTGCGGGCAAGAAGGGAGTATTTTGTACTGTTACAAAGTACTGCTTTAGAAAGCAGTTATAATGACACAGTGGCTGTACCTTACTTCCCTTTTCGAGAAAAAGCAGTCTAAGAACCTCATGTAGGGATTGTCTAAGAACCTCATGTAGGGATCCAAAGAAACTCGTAGTTCTTGCCTTGTGGGGGGCTGAGAGGGGCTGTTGGAAAAACAACTACCTACCAAATGTGAATTTTTTTTATAGGATTTTTGTTTGCTCGTTTGTCACCCAAACGAGCACACAGTCCACCTGATGGTAAGTGGTTGCTGCGGCTCATAGACATCTACATCTATCCTCTATTACAAATCAAAATGCAGATGCGTTGTCACCCGTGAGGACTAAGATGGAATGCCTCATCTCCAGTAAAAAGGGCCTCCGGCCACCTGCACTCACCAAGCGAAACGCAGAGGTAAACCTCTACTTCACGCTGGTATTCTGTGAGGTCGTGGTACCACCCCGGTTCGAGCCGGCCCATCCGTGCGACAGCAAAAGCCACCACGTGGCTCTACCACTGTTAAATAATGCTCTTCAACTATCCTAAAAAGGACTGTCGAAAAAACAATCAGTACACCCGACCTGAAAAATTGCCAGCTATCCTGAGAAATACTGTTGGAAAAGCAACCATCCAATGAATGGTAATGTTCTTTAACTATCCTGCAAATGACTGTCAAAAAAAACAATCACTGCACCTGATGTGAAAGATCACCAACTATCCTGAAAAGGACTGTTGGAGAACCACCCGCCAAATGTGAATGTTCTTTAACTATCCTAAAAATAACTGTTGAAGAAACAATCAGTGCATTTAATGTGAATTATCACCAACTATCCTGAGAAGGACTTTTGGAGATGCAGCCACCCACAAAATATGAATGTTCTTCAACTATACTAAATGGAGTGTCAAAGAAATGATCACTTCATATGCTGGTAAAATATCATATGCAGTTAACTATTCTGATATGGACTATTATTAGAATAGTTGCTACATGAATATTCTTCAACTATCCCAAAGAGGACTGTCGAAGAAGCAATCGCCAGGCAGATATGCTTTTGTATTAATGGTGATAATTATCGGTTATTAGTGGTCAATACTGGTAAAAACTGGTAATCATTGGTTATAAGTGTTCAAACTCGTAATTATTGGCTATCAGTGGTTGACAGGGGTTAACACTAGTTATAGTATAATAGCGTCAATACTGGGTTAAAAACACTTATTATAAGTTACTACTAGTGAGTACTAGTTAATACTTAATAATTATTGGTTATTAGTCAATATTTAAACATACTGAAGTTTCAGCGTAATTGACCGGGAACCAATATCCATCAGAATGGTGCGGGGCTCTTTCGGGACCGATATGTACTCGAACATTCTAGATGTCGCTACAGTAGAAGGTTCTGGAAACTATCTGAGGCCCTATATAATGCCAGTATAGACCACGGCCGAGTCAGTATTGAATTGGCGATACAAGAGGATACTTCGAAGAGAAACAACTGCAAACTTAAATGATCAGTAGTACAATTGTGTTTTATTATTAGTGTGGTTTTAGATTGTAATTAGTGTTGTGTAATTAAAGTGTTTAAAATTTTGGTAATTCAATCGGCAGTTTTAATTGTCTCGAACCCCAAGCTCGTAACAGAATTTTATCTACTAAACTGAATAATCGACTAATGTCCATAACTTAGTGTGCATTATATTAGTACCATATTGCTTGTCTAGTAGCAGACATAGAAGTCTTTGGTTTTATCATCATATGTTCATATGTCTATCATAATGTAGAAAATAATAATAATAGTTTAACTTAAAATATTTTAGCTATTCAACTAATATTTTCCTCAATGTTTCTTATTTTAAATATTGAAATTTTATGAATATTAATTAGCATTTCAATATTTTTTTTCTACTTTAATAAAATATCTAAACAACTTACTTCCTTCTTTGTTCAGGAGGAAGCTTCACATCATTCTGCATTCGAACATTGACTAAATCTGCAGGATTTCCTACAAAACCACCAGCAAATCCACCCAAGCCAGCTAGAAATGCGGACATGAAAAATGATATTGGCTTGCCCTGAAAAACATTAATTAAATATTAAAAGATTCGAGTATAATTTAAAATCTTAATAATCATTATTAATATAATAAATTAATAATATAATTAATCACGTCTTCAAGGCAAGAGTGCATAGGCTTTTGTTATGCTAAGACAGTGCAATTTACCATCTAGGGCTGCATCACCACTTACCACCAGGTGGGATTTTGGTCTAGCACGGGCTTATAATAAATAAAAACAAATCATTATACATTATTTTCAGGGTCAAACCTAAATAATAAAATATTAAGACAATATTACTATTAACACAAAAAAATACTTTAAAATGTAACTTTATCAATATAGATTTTCATTTGTAATTCAATATTTAGTCATTAAATATTAAAATAAATAAACTTGAAACTTACATCTTTTGGACCAAGTTGTTGTTTTGCCATTTCATAAATACCAAATCTTGCTGTAGAATAAGTAAGTTGTCTTAGAAGTGATGCTGATATACCATTATAAAGTCCCGTTATTCCTATCAACATGAACAATAGATATAATAATGAATGATGTAAGATGAAAAAAACATTACAGATTAGGTACTAAAACAAATCATCCACTATGTATTTCATTAGGCATTATTAAGATGTTTTCATAATGACTCAATCTAAATTGTTTAGACTTTAGAGAGATAATTTGATTGACAGTCCCATGGCGCATTGCCTGGGTCAATTGTTTTAGGTCTGGATGTTTATCCTTGTGAAATGTATGTATGTAAACTACCCTCACAATACAGGAGCAAAACCTAGTGTGGAGGTAAAGATTTTAAAAAAGAAAAAAAAATAAGTCAGGTTTAAAAAAGAGAAAAGTTGTATGAAAAACAAAGTGTAATATATAATGTTAATCAAATCCATCAGATGTTTTTATAGTATTTATTTATTTAATAATTACTATACATCTCTGAGAGGTTTTAAAACCTACTTTGATTGAATTTTAACAGTGGTAGAGCCACACGGCAGCTTTTGCTGTCGCACGGATGGGCCGGCTCGAACTGGGGTGGTACCACAACCTCACGGAAAACCAGCGTGAAATAGAGGTTTACCTCTGCGTTTCGCTTGGTGAGTGCAGGTGGCCGGAGGCCCTTTTTACTGGAAATAAGGCATTCCATCTTAGTCCTCACGGGTGACAACGCATCTACATTTTGATTTCTAATAGAGGATAAATGTAGATGTCTATGGGCCGCAGCAACCACTTACCATCAGGTGGACTGTGTGCTCGTTTGTCACCCTTATCCTATAAAAAAAAACTTTTATAATGAACATTTATGTTCTAAAGACGATTTTTAAATGTTTCATGTTATTAGATAACATTATCTCCACTTATAATATTTGTTTAAAAAATTGTGTAAATTAAAATGTGTCTACAAAACAAAACACAAAAATGAATAGATGCTATGGTAACTGCACTCTATTTTATTTCCTAAAATTTGTAGTAATGCTTCAAATTGGCACAAAGTTCACAGTGCCACATTTCTGAGGAAGGAGGGGTGTGGTCCTCCCTCCTTTCCTCCCCTCCCCCGCACCTCCCATTTCAGTAATAAAAGGTAATCAATCTAAACTACTTCTGGGGAAGGGTTTGGAGAGCAATCCCACTGTGAAGCATTTTACAACATTTTTTTGTAAATAGAAGGAAGTGAGAAGAGATACCTCTTGCCATAAACCTCCCTTAAAAATGCATATTTTTTATTGAAATTCCCTTCTAAGCTATGGTAAGTCAAAGGCACTTTATTACCAGCAAAACTCGATTTTTTTGGACAAATAAGTCTTAGTCACTTTTAGCCATTATATTTCAGTCAAAATCTCTTTTTACAAATATTTTCAAGTCAACTATTTTTGCCTATATATAACTAAAACAAAATTAGTTATTTTAATTGCATAGTACAAAAACGAAAAATTTAATACACATATACACAATATAACATAACTTGATAAAACAAAACTTTCAAACAGCAGGATACTAAGAATACTTATAAAAATATTTTATTTCTTCTCAAAAACTACAGGATTTCGCTCCTCCCATTTAAATACCAACATAGGGTTCCGACCTACCTTCTCTCTTAAACTAGATTGAAGATTTTGGACAGTCCTTCTATGGACCTTAACTTCCATGGACTTATAAACATACTGAATATAATAAAATACTCTAAAATGTGCTTATCAATACCCACCTTGGTTTGTTAGAACAATTCCGGTAAGTTTAAACATGGAGATGTTTTTTCCTTTTTGAGTTTGCATCTGTACTTTTAGTAAATCTAGTGGATGTGTAACGCATGCTGCACCAGCCGATGCAAGTCCGCCGAAGTACCATTGTGACACCCTTACTTCTTTTACTTTATTCATTGCTGTAATTAAATTAATTTTACAACTAATATTGATTTAAAACAGTTATCTAGACAATTAGCCTCCAGTAAACGTATAAAAATTAACGAACAATATGCGGCTATTTTCATAACTTTGGTGATAACAGATAACGTGGTGTCATATTCCGTCCTCTGTCTACATTACAGTGAAGTGAACTCTAATCTCTAATATATCCTTTGTAAATTCAATAAATTGCAAATTTGCAAATCTGTTATCTGTAATTCCGTAACTGTCCATAGACATAGTATCTATCTGTCAAAGTCTAATCACCAGTGTTACCAGATGAAAATTGCAAACTACGTAATTTGATGAGCGATCTTTAACTATTTTTGATTTCGAAACTACATGGGTGCAGTTTAAATAATTAATATTTTTGAGATGTGCTATTTGAAATACATCGGTCAGAATTTTTATAATATATATACACCAAATTCAAAGGCTGGTTTGGAAAGGGGGGGGGGGGGGGGGTCAAAAAATGAAACAGTTTGGCATCGGAAAATAACGCTACGTCGGCCTAATTATAAGAATGCGTAACTCCAAAATATGTTTATCTTTTGTTTTAATGCCATCATCGGTAAATCTTAAAACGCATATGATAGTATACTTCGTATCTCCCGCAGAAAATTGTTTAAATAGTTATTCGACATTTATAAAAATACGTAACTCTACGACGCCATTTTGTTGTTTGCAATATTCGTAACTCCCGCGTTTAGTGCGGCTTGAGAGCTCCGAGGTGTGGACGTCATGTCGTCGGTTAACTTTTTAGACAAATATTGTGATAAATGTGATTATTTAGATAGAATAGAGTAGAAGGTGAGTTTGTTTCATGTTATTATTTGATCTAGCTATTAAATTTTGCAATTAATAAGCGAAATTAGTTATTTTGCTATGTGATGGAGTTAAGAAGTTTGATTGTTTGCTTAGCTTTGCATTGTGACTGTTTGACATGGAGATACGAACTTTGAATTTATTGAATAGTAATTTGTTTTTTACTTTGTCTAACTCTAAGCATTATTTTCGTTGTTTTAGTTAAATACATACCTACATGATGTTGCGAAATTCACGCGCCGCAAAAATACTTCGGAATATTCCGCCCGAAAAACTGAGCATCGAACCAGGATGCTACGTGGTACAGTGTGACAATTCAATAGTGTTGGAAGATCAGCCGCAGCTCATTATTAGAAATGATGGATTTCATCAAGGATCCACAAACAGAGATTCTGCAAGTAGCATTCCTGTTGTATTCGATTCAGATCTACAGTCATCAATAACTGAATGTGTTACTCTGAATCCCATAGAAACGGTTGAACCTGTAGATATTTCTACGCCGAGGTTATCAGAAGAACACACTAAATCAGGATGCTCCGTGGTACTAACAGATAATTATAAAGTATTGAGGGACTGCCCCTTTAACATCTTGATTAATAATGATAGATCTATCTGCCGAAGATCCACGAGCCAAGATTCTTTAAAAAGCATCAGCTCTGTTCCATTAGATTCGGATCTAACGTCATCAGAAACAGTTGAGCAGGCTATCACTACCTCGTCACCGCCTCCAAGAAAAAGACAAAAGAAAAGTGAACCCCACCAATGGGACACAAATAAAAACAAGGAACAAAGAGAAAAAGGTAAGGCTTATTTAGGAAAGAAGAAGAGAGGAAATAAATGGGGCTTTATTGAACCTAAGCCCGCGAGAGAGATGAAAAGTAGATGCAAATGCAAATTAAGCTTGAAAGGGGATACCAAGATGCACTGTGATAAAATACCAGAAGAAGAAAGACTAACAATGTTTGAGAAGTTTTGGAAAATGAGTTGGAAGGAAAAGAAGGTGTTTGTTAAAATGTCTTCGATTTCTAAGAAAAAAGAAAGAGAGAGGTGTGCTGGTACATCATCTAGGCGGAAAAACTCCGTAGAGTTATATTTAACTGATAGCACGGGGATTCGATTTCAGGTCTGCAAAACCATGTTCCTTAACAGTTTAGGTGTTGGGGAATGGGTGATAAAGAAGTGGATTATTAATGAAGATGATCCCAAAGATGCACCGAAAAATAATACCAAAGTGGAAGCTAAAAACCAGTTACGCAAGTTTTTTGATTCCATGCCAAAACTTGAATCACACTACTGCCGAAAAGACTCATCAAAGTTGTATCTTGAACCAACCTGGACATCAAAATCTCAGCTCTATGAAACTTATAGAAAAGACTTCTGTGTCAGAGAGAACCTTGAGCCATTAAGCATTACCACCTTTTTCAACATGTTTGAAGCACTCAATTTGTCTTTATTTAGCCCAAAAAAGGACTTGTGTGATATTTGTGAGTCTTACAAAGCTGGTAATGTTTCAGATATTGACTATAAGACTCATCGTGATAAGAAAGACGAGGCTCGAAAAGAACTCGCTAAGGACATTTCCATGGAACACGAAGTCCTTACCATGGATTTACAATCGGTGCTTTTAAGCCCACGTTCGAATGTTTCGGCACTCTACTATAAGACCAAACTCATTGTGCATAATTTCACACTTTACGATTGTAAAAGAAATTTTGCTACTGTTGTATTTGGAACGAATGCGAAGGAAAACTGACGAGTAATGAATTTTCGACTATAATCGTGACAACTCTCGAAAAGTTCAGGATACAAAACACAACGCAACATAACAAGGAAATAATTATCTACAGTGACGGTTGTATCTACCAGAACCGAAATGTGGTACTATCCAATGCTCTACTGAATTACAGCATGGAAAAGAATGTAACCATCAAACAGAAGTACCTCGAAAAAGGGCATACGCAAATGGAGTGCGATAGTATGCACTCGGTCATAGAAAGAGCGTTAAAAAATAAAAAGATAAATATTCCGGCCGACTATGTTTACATAGCCAAAACTGCTTGCAAGAAAAATCCCTATGACGTACAGTATCTCTATCACCACTTCTTTAAAGATGTTGAACATACTATGAAGTTCTACAAATCAATCAGACCTGGAAAAAGAACAGGTGATCCTACAGTCACAAACATAAGGGCTCTCAAGTACACTCTAGATGGAAGAATTGAGTTCAAGTTGAGACATTCAGCTCCCAACAAGAACTAAAACAATCAGTTTCATTCCATGGGATACTGTTCCTCAGCTTTATTCGGCAAGGCTGAAGATTAAAAAAGAGAAGAATCAGGTTCTTCAGAACCTCAAGCATACCATAGAGAAAGATTATCATAACTTTTATGATAACCTACCACATACCTAACTAGTTAAACTAATGATGTGGTAGGTAGGTACCATGGGGGGTCAACTCACTATGGAGCCGATGCAAACTTCGGGCAAAATAAGCGAAACAGAGACAGCGCTATACGCAAGACAGAGAAATCACTATTGAGCCATGTTACGCATTGTATTTCAATTACAGTTTAGGAACTTTTATTTTTGCTTTTTAATATCTTTGTCGCCTGCCCATTAAAAATTATCTTTACTTATCTTATAAATTATAAACTATATATTTTATAATATACATAACAAATAAAAGTTGTTTAATCCATGAAAGTATAAATTAAATTATACGTTCCGATTATTTTTATGTCCGATTGAAATGATTACTCTGTTCAACAAGCTCTGTAGCCGAAAATATAAATGTATCTATGATTGTTGTGAAATAAAAACGTAAACTAGGTTAATATATTTTACATATTCATAAAATTAAGAAAATAACAAGTTTCAAAGTACATTTTACATCAATTAGATATTATTTTAAACGAGAATGTTTCAAATCATTTTCAAATTAAATGGAGTTAGTTTTGTTTAACTTTTCTAAGCCAAATTCAAAACTGATGTCGATTTAGTATATTTCGTAGAAAAATAACTTAAGGGTGGTGTTACTAGCCAGTGAATATTTAATTTATGGTGATTTATCAGAGTTGTATTATTTAATGAAGATGTTTAACGATTAATAATGGATTACTGAAAACGGTGTGTTCTAAGATGCGTCTATAATCATCTTAAATTGAGTGCCCAAGTTTATTTCTGTGTCTATATTACTAGTCAATAATATATTTAAATCTCTATGAAAATAATTGTTTTATTTCTGAAAAACTATTAACCGTGTTCCATTCCAATTTTCTACTTATGTATCAATGCATAGCTAATTATTAACTCTAATCTTCCTCTCAAGGTTTGTGTTATTAAATATTTAAAATTTCCAATTTGTTATTCATTTATTACTATTTCCATTTCAATTTTTTACTAATGTAGAATGTAATCTCTACATTCGTAGAAAATTGGAATGGAAATAGTAATATGTTATGATTAAAATAGAATATTGAATGTGGGGGTGGGCAATGAGGAATATACATATACACACGCACACATTCACATCTGTTAGTTCATGGATCAAAAACTGGCGCGCTAGTGTCGCAAGCTGTTGGCATTTTTATTGTATGAAGTTTTCGTTCTTCCCGTCAGGGTACATGTGTTCTGTGGTAGGTACTTACTAAGATTATAAAAGTTATGATAACCTACCCCACTTAAGGTACACTAAGGCCTTCCTTCATTTATCTGATTAGTACCAAGTATTGTTTAATGTACCTAGTTTTATTTACTTTACCCATTCCAAAGAGTGAACAATTATTGTTAAAAGTAATTTTATTTTTAAGACATTAGAGACTGATGAAAGTTATTGATTTTTATGTTACAAGAGTTTTTTTTTTAATAGAAGTTCCTATTACGTTATTTGATTAATAAAAAACAAAGGTGATTATAAGAGAGCATTATTTTTTCGTTAATCCCCCCTATATAAAAATGGAATAATAAAACTGCGTAAGTCATCTGCATTGTATAAAAACTGATAAAAATGTAAACGTTATACTGCGTATATCCTAGAAAAAGTCGTAAGTCCAACTTGAATAAAAATTAAAACTCGTAAGTCCATTATTTTATAAACTACCTGAAAAATCAATAATATTCTTAGTAAAAAATGAATCTACACTCATTTTGAACTCAAAGTAACAGCGACTTTATAAAAATATCTTAATATAAAAACAAAAAACGGTTTTTCGTTGCTCCTGTAAATTTATCTCATTCGGACTTACGAATTTTGATAATTAGGTCGACGTATGGCTACTTCCCTTCTATGTTGCTAGTGGAAACGGTGAAACAAGTGCTCTGATGGTGATGTGATTCTCAAGTTAAGGTATCTATCTGCTTAGGCGCCTTGAGATACTATCGCCAACGCCAACTGTCAGCTGTCTGCTGGCTCAAATTGCCGTCAAAATCTCCCAAGGGCTGCACAATGGGACGCATCAACATATTGTAAAACAGTGTACTATGAAATTATACATTGTAACTTCAGACCGACAAGGGCTAGAACCCAGAGCGGTAAAGTCAGCTATAAAAAAACGGGCTGACAATTGTTGTCTAGTGTTTCTATATAGTTTATGCAATTGACGTCTGATAAAATTAAATTCTAAAGTAAATAACCTTGAAATTGAAGTAATCCCCTTATTTTTTGATAATTACGGTTTAGTTTTTGTCATATTATTTAAAAATTTATAGTACGCAAACATATATTTTATATAAAAGGAGAAATTTAAATTAAAAAAATTGTAATAATTAAGGTACTTACCGTATGCCTCAGTGTAGTGGCGAATAACATAAAATTTAATTAAGTTATATTACAGTGGTTCTAGTTAGGATGCTTTAAAAATTAGAACTGACGGTCAGGGTTATCTAATATTAGACCGGCTACCTTGCAAGTAAAACGGGCACTGAAGAGTGAGGACGCGAGCTTTAACTCGCTCTCCTGTAGTTCTGTTTATTAAAATTACGAGTACAGTATCTATGTATTCTGAAAACGGCAATTACCTAACCTTCCTTATCGCGTTTCTCATTATACTAAAACTATAATTTCTGTTCACGCACAACAATAATAATATCAAAAAATAATTTAATGATATTTTTTTTCAGAATGTCTTCAGATATTATAACGACTTTGGAAATAGATAAAGAGAATTCATCTAGTAAAATTTTCGTAGTAAAAGAAATTAGTGGCTGTGATAGTTCTTTTATTATAAGTTGTGTTTTAGGGCATTTTGTTAAGAATAGATCTGCAGTTCTTATAATTTCTACACATAACTCTATTAAGCATTACCAAAACGTCGGCTTGAAGATGAATTACAACCTTATTAAAGGGGTGGATGCTGGTCTTATAAATGTCTATGATGTGGGTAATGAGTATGTAGATAAACTACTAAAGAATGAACATTTGTCACTTGATAGCATATTTGAGAGTATCAAAGAGAAAGTAGAACAAATGCAACATAAATATGATATGGTAAATGTTATTGTTGATGGCATATCCCATTTATTAAATATGCAATATAATGTAAGAGATGTAAATACAGTTTGTTCAAATATTATTGATTTAGTTAGGTGCTACAAAAATTCATTACTTTTCCTTCACTGTAATGTAGCTAATGAACTTGATGTTACTCATGTTGTATCTAATCTTTTATGCCATAAGGCACATATGGTTTTGGAAGTAGAAAATCTCACATCAGGCTGGAGTGCTGACGTTTCAGGACACTTGACATTAAAATATCCAGGTCGTAAATTTGAAGATGAATACATGTTCTCAATGGATTTGAAACCAACTCAATACCTTTTTAAGTTATTTGATCGTGGTGTTAAGTTGCTTGCACCTGGAACGGTTTAATATTATTAATTTGGTATTAAATGTACATATATTGTACAAGTATACAAAGTATACAAGTACCAAGTAAGGCATATTTGCTACATATAATAAACTTATTTATGTTAAAAAAAAAACATTAAAATTATATTCATTAACTGTGTTAAAAATGTTGTGCATTCCTTACCAAAACAATTTTGATGATTGATATCAAATTAATGTGACATCATTACATATTGTAATTTTTTTATTACCCTTGGCTTACGATACATAAATCATTCTGTGTAAACTAAATTAAAATTAAGTGTAATAAAGTTGGTTTTATATTTTTAACCTGTATTTAATGTTTATCCAATTGTACCTTATTCAATTAAAATTTCACTATCTAAGGGCTGTTGTGATCAATACACATGAAGTCAAGGCCATAGATAACAGGGCAAGGCAATCTTTAAATAACAAGCACTAAAACTTCAGTATTTTATAGTGGAACTGAAGTGTCATTTTTTATTACCCTTAAAATGTTAGCTTATATTATAGATTTGCATTGAGGAGTTGGTGAGTGAAATAATCCATGGTTTTTATGTTTATTTATTTTTTATATTATAGAAATACCGGGGTGACTGAGCTTTGCTTGGCATTAAAAATATAATTTTCTCAGGGAATTACTATCTAATACACCTATCTAGAAAAACGTTAATGATTTTCTGTACAAATACCGATGACTTTTCAAGCGACGCTTTGACCTCTCTGTTAAAAAATACGCATAGCGCTATAAAAAATTACGTAATTCTGTAAACAAAACATTTTACGTTTTTTTACATGTTACACCAAATTTCAAATATTTTTCACTGTTTGTTCCGGCGAATCTTCGAAATGACTGGACTTTCACTGGCAGATAGCTGATGTTATACTTAAGGTAACTTAGGTTATTTTTATTATAGAAAAATAATTAGGGTTCCGCGTAAGAAATTAAAATTTATGAAATCTAATCGTAATAAATTGTACGCGGACGAAGTGGCGGGGAACAGCTAGTTTGTAATGTAATTTAGTTGCAAAATTAGAACACAACATTTAGGTAAGCGGGCGTGAATGTAAAATTTGATGGGAGAGCGAGGGCGATGTAGGAGTAATTTCATTAATAATTTAATTTTTTTGAGGCGCGCTTCGGAAGCCCTACATTTCTATAGAAAGTATCATTTATTATCTTTTTTTTAAACGAGCATGCGGCTCATCTGATGGTTAGTGACTACCGCCGCCCATGAACAACCGCAACACCAGGGGAATTGCAGATGCGTTGCCGGCCTTTTAGAAAGGTGTAAGCTCTTTTCTTGAAGGTCCCTAAGTCGTATCGGTCCGGAAAAATCGCTGGTGGTAAACAATTCTACAGAGAAGTTGTACGAGGAAGAAACTCCTAGTAAAACGCATAGTCGTAATGTTTATGTAAGTGAGAATAAAAAATATGAAAAATGTTTATATATAGGTACAGCTAAAGGTGGTACAGATATACAACATAAGATTTATTAAATTGGAAGTAAAATAGTCTTATTTCTCTAATAGGTATACTAGTCTATGATCTTATCACACCTAGCTGGAGTTTATACAAACTAGGGCGTGTAATTCTGTGATCTTCATACTAGGCATGCTGGTGACGTGAGGGAGGAGCGTGCCTGATATGGATTTCTTTTCACACATGGCTTTCATAAATTGACACTGGGTCGACGTGCGATTAATACGTTAAGAAGATAAGCCTTTTTCATAAAATAAGTACTCTAATTAAATAAAAGATAGGAAGTTAGTTAATCTTCTTTCGTTTGAGAACATCCGCACGCGCCACTATTTGCCTTGCACCCCTAGGCACGTGCCTAGTTTGCCTTAAGTATAATCCGCCACTAGTTCTGACAGCCCTAGGCTGACTATAAATATGCAGGCCTCGACCTGTTCTGCCTGTCTTGCCTGTCTCCGCCCAGCCCAGGAATATACTTACTAGTTTTTTAAATTTTATTTACTACACACCGCGGTTTCGCCCACATTAAATAAAATTTTCCTGTAAGAATTGGGTATTTTCCTGAGGTAAAAGGTATTTCCTCAGAATGCACTCAGTCTATCTCATCACCTTATTCAGCAACCGTAAAAAGGTAACAGAAAACCAAACCGACGAAGTTCTTTCGCAATATAGTTTTATTAATATTCAAATAAATGTTAATTAATTATAAGCAAGTATCAGTCAGTTATGGTCTGTAGTAACTAATTTTTTTTGGTTTTAATTGGCTTTCTTGATGGTAAGTTTCGATCGTCGCGCATGACGAACTGCAACACCAGCGGAATTACAGGTGCGTTGCTGGCCTTAAAAAGGAGTAAGCTCGTTTCTTGAAGGTCCCTAAGTCGCATAGTTCCGGATAAATCGACTTTGGTACGAGTAGACGATTCCACAAAAAAGTCGTGCGAGGAAGAATACTCCTAGTAAATCGCAGTGTGGTGAACCGCCAAGCATCCAGATGGTTTGGATGGTGCCGTAAGTTTTGTCGCGATTTGCGTTGGTGAGCACCTCCTGTGGTAAATACAAAGAGATGTTCTCTTTGCAGCGCCAGTAAATCTAGCCGTTCAGTAAGAATACGATCATCAACTATTCGAGTCGCTCTACGCTAGTTACGGGCAAGTGGAAGGAGCCGGCACTGGCGTGTCCCAGCCCAAAGATAAGGACAGTGTGGTGCGACGATAGCGCCGCGACATGGCAAGCGGCCAAGTCTCCCCGGGAAGAACACCTTGCCTGGCGGGAGATCTCCCCCTTTTTTTCCACCAGCCTCAGTGGTGACCAATCAACGTGATCTGAACACACAACCAACAACCTTCGGAAACTACAACTTCAAACCTTCGTCGTCATTCACAAGTACCCCATTCATTCGCTCCCGAGCAGATATTGTCGGCAGTCTGCAGTCTTCACATTCTGCAAGCCATCTAGCTTTACAAAGGTTCATCGCAGCATTGGAATAATAATTAATAATGCTTCCTGTTCTTTCAAGCTACTCTCTGCTACAGTGTTCGGCACGGCTCTGTGCCTTACTGCTCGCCTCTGCTTCACGGCACTCTCGCAGATTACTTGCCTTCTTTTCAGCTCTATAGTATCGATAGCAACGCTGAAGTGTATCTACGTTTTGTTCTTTTTGTTACTGTTGATTTTTTGTTTCTATTGACTTTTTACGTTCGTTAATTTGTGGTAAACACAGAATGGAGTGATGACAGTGATACAGAAACGAACGATTTCGATAAAATAACTGGTATGATGCGTAAATATTAACCTACCAGTTTTTGTTCGCGCCTTCGTAAATAATTTATTTAAAATATGTAATGAAACTATAGTAAAAATATTTTATTTTCAGTGTTATTATTGTACTGTTGCGCGTCACTATTAATGTCTTGTACATGGCAACACTAGTTACCCCTAGCACCCTCTAGTATCGAGTAGCAGAACTAGGAGAGTCAAGATACTTCTAGAAATATCGGGACCGATATGTACTCGAACATTCTAGATGTTTCTATAGTAGAAGGTTCTGGAAACTACCTGAGGTCCTATATAAGACCGGTATATACCGCGAACAAGTCAGTATTGAATTGGTGATACAAGCGAATACTTCGAAGCGAAATAACTGCGAACTAAAGTGATCAGTAGTACAATTGTGTTTTATTATTAGTGTGGTTTTAAGTTATAATTAGTGTTTTGTAATTAAAGTGTCAATTTTGGTAATTCAATCGGCAGTTTTTAATTGTCACGAACCCTAAGCTCGTAACAGTAATACCTACTTTTTCATAATTAAATAAATTATTTAATAATATTTTTATCTACTTGCTTGCACTCCATTTCTCTATACAGGGCAGCGAACTAAAAATCGAACTACTTACAATTACGAGTAAAACACTTACAGTAATCTCGAATTGAACGCGTAGTGGACTGCACTATCGACCTCCAGTCTGAGCAGGAGGGGTTTGGCGGTTTATGGTCGCGGCAAAAGCGAAAATACATCGAATACTAAATCGCGCTATCAAAGTTCCGAAATAAAAGCAGTATATATAGAATAACTCCGAACTGCCATTTGGATTGGAGTGTTGTCCGCTCTCCGGGCCGAACACCTTGCCCGGCAGGAGATCTTCCATTTTCCTTCCACAGCCACAACAGTATTTCATGTTCGGCCGAACCTGCGACTTGACTTAAACCGCTCTGCTTTTAGGTATTATTAAGTAGTTATTTATAGGTTAAAGATCTTTTTCTAAATAAAGAGATATTAAATATGTGGTCACGATAATTATCATAATTAACTCAAACGTTTTCAAATAGCAAAACGTGGGAAAAATATGCGGCAGTATTATGTACTTATGGATTTGTGGACTCAAAGTACAACGTGCACCTACTAGGTGGTAGGATTCCTTAACCTTCTAGGAGCCCAACTGAGTAGGTACTAATAGCAGTGCTTGCACTGCTACTGTTGAAGTTGCCTGTGTTTGGAAGTTGGCTGCAGCAGCCACTTACCATCAGGTGGTCTGTAAGTTTGTTTATTTCTTCAGTTTCATACTACTCTAGTAGTATCTAGTAGCAATCTACGATCATCAGTGTAGTACAGTGAAGAGTACGCTATAGAACCGCACGTGGAAAGACAAAAAAAGACTTGAAAAAGGATTGTAGATCTATAACTTCACAGAGATTAGTAATAGAGAAGTTTCGCACTTAATTCAAAATCCGAGTAGTATGTAGTTTTTGAATATTCTTTGACAAATACTTTTAATCAAACTGGTTTACAAGAACAAGAAATGCAATATATCACGACAGATAATAATAAAATAGTCATTTAAATTAAAATTATTAACGTTAAACCAATTTACTAATTTGGAAGTTAATAAAGTATCATCAGTAAGTAATACTTTATTATGGTTATCTCCTACTATATCAAATAAATCATTTATATATACAAGAAACGGAAAGGGGACGAAAATTGAGCCCTGAAACACACACACATTTTACTATCGACCCGGAA